GCAATGGGGGATGGGCAGTGGAGAGGTGCAAGCAGTGGGCGGGGGGGGGTCTCGGGGGAAGAGACAGAGAGGGGGCAGGAAGGGGCGGGGGCCTCAGCGGGAAGAGGCGCAGTGCGGGTGGGGCCACGGGGGAAGAGGCTGAGCGGGAGCGGGGCCTCGGGGCGGAGCCACGGTCTGGCCGCACTTCTGGAGATCCGCCGGCAGCGGCACTGCGAAGGCGGCAGGACTGTGCACCTCCAAAGGGAGGTTTGCCGCATCTGGCGTTTCTTGCCCCATTTGGGGAGCTTCGCCTCCTCACGCCTCATAAGCGCCGCCCATGGCTGCAGCACTGGCTGCTCGCTCAGCTCACAATGTGACCTGCAGTGCTCTCACAGGGGGTTAATGAGATGTTTCACGCTGTCTATTGCTGCCTTACTACGTGGATGCGTTGGCCAGTTCGTGAGCCTTAACTTTCTGGGAGGGGAGAAAGAGTTTTGTTAAGGAGGTGTGAGACTCCCAGATTATTTTTATTGAACTTTGAATTAAAGATTCCTTCTTCATAATCTCACTTTAACTCTAAAGAAGACACAAAAAGCAAGGGTGCGGGTAGGAGAGTGATAGGGCATCAGAAGGGAAATCTGCATGGGCACTTTAAAAACATTGTTTTTTAATGACAAACACATTCACATTAGATACCGAAAGACCAGGAAAGATGAATTTATGTACAGAGCAAAAATGATATGTCTTTGTGTGCATGTTTTTTAAGAGAAAGATGAACACATACAGAGCAAGAGAGATACCCTGATGTGCTAACTGGGCAACAGGTCCATTTAGTGTGTGTTTTAAGGAACTGAGAGAGAATTTAACCACTGTGAAAAATCCCAAGAAAGATGAAAAAACTATGAAGACCATTAGTTTGTTTGTTTATTTGCATGTTTGAGGACTAGAGAGCTTAGTGGAATTTTAGAGGAAGCAGATCCCTACATATAGCTGTAATAAAGGGAAAGCTTATACTGAGAGAGTTGAGTGATAAATATTGTTTAATCCATGTTATCAATTATTTTTAGTTTAATGCAATGGAGAAGATGCAGGCCTCTCCAATTCTGGCAGGTATAACTGGCCCATTCTAGGGGGGACATTTCCCATTACCCAACTTCAATATTCTACTCCCCTGACATATGCATGCCTCCAAGCTGATGTCAGTGAGAGAACCACCCATGATGGGGAAGCAGAATATCACGGAGTTCAGAGAAGAGAAGTTTGCCCTTACTATGGATCTACCCCAAAATCAGCCCTTTCAAGTTCTCCATAATGCAAAACCAATGCAGTCCATCTGTTCTGCTACATTATTTCTAATTCCTTAACAAAAGTGTACTTTATCATGATTTTATGCCTTTTACTATATTTTACTAAAGGTTTAGATACCTCCAGGACCAATCAGAACTAATTAGGACATTACATTGGCCATATTTCAGACCTTGAAAGTATTAGGGGACGCAGATAAAGCAGTTCACATCTCTCTGTTTAGCCCCCCCAACAAATAAATATATACTTGTGTATACCTAAAGATACAGAAATGCCTACATTATGTTGTCTGACCTCTTGTGGCCCATGAGGGCTTAAAACAGGAACTTTGCACCACTGAAAAAACAGAGACTCCAAATTTTATAATGGGGTTACAGCATTTACTTATATAACCCTGCTAGGTCTTGACATATTGGACCTGAAAATCATGACATTATTCTGATCCGAGTCCTCAGTAGTTGGAGTTTTGGTACTATGGAAACTGACTTTACAGGCAAAAGATTATGACAATTAATGGCAATTAAAAATAATCCTAACCCTTTTAAATATTTCTAAAATAGTTTTTCTGTAATCTGTGGGCTTGTCTACATGAACATTTAGTTAGCAGCATGCTGGGGTATAAATCTACCCTGCACTAGCTTGCTGCACATTAACTATGTGGAATCTTCTGACATTCACTAACAGTTTAATAGTGCACTGTGGTCTAGTCCCATTTCAAAGTGAAGTAGATCAAAGTGCACGAAGGGCAGGTCTAAACTACTGTGGTAAATCGATCTAACTTACGCAACTTCAGTTACATGAATAACGTAACTGAAGTCGATGTAGTTAGATCCACTTACCACAGTGGCTACACTGCACTGTGTCGATGGGAGAGCGTCTCTCATAGACTTCCCTTACGCTTCTCGCGGAGGTGGAGTACACAAATTGATGGGAGACTGCTCTCCCATCGATTTAGCGTGTCTTCACCATACCCGCTGAATCGACACTCGCTGCATTGATTGCAGCAGTGCCGATATACTGGTAAGTGTAAACATACCCTAAGGAACTGTTAGTGTGTGGCAGCAACATTCACATGGACAATTGTTGCATGGCAGACTGATGTTGGGTGGATTTATACCCAGACTTGCTGCAAACTGAATGTTCATGTGGACAAGCCCTCTATGTGATCTAAGTGTATGAACATGCAGCGTAAAGGGTATATGGGCACTTATTTGAGATGACCTGCTTATTGCACTTGGGCCTTTGCCACTTGTGACTAATGCAGCCATTCCAAGCTCAATCTGATAAAACATTGACACCACATCTGTTTATCTATCTGATTAGAAAAATATTTTAGCTGACCTAAGAACTATCCTTCCCTCCCTATCTCTGTAGAGAATTGTGTACATATGTTGTGAAACAATTGATAGAAATATATACATTTTTTAGAGAGAATGGATGAATGAACAAATCTTATCAGTCACCACACTTTCGAAGAAAAAATATTTTTATCATTGACTCCATGAAGAAACATAATGTGCAGATTTTGATTGTGGAAAAGTGTGTCAAAAGGATGTGAATGTGCTGCTACAAAGTCTCACGTGAGACTGGGGAGGCCTGGAGAATTTGGAGATGAAAAAAGAGCTTGTCATTTAGTCCATGGATTGTTCCCTAAATTTTATTTTCCATTGCTGTGTCCAGTCTAGTTTTAAATTATGCACAAAATAGGACTTCCACCATTTCCCTTGGCAGACTAATCCACAGTCCACTAGATCTAATTTTTAGGGATATTTTTCTGATTATTCAGCAAAATTTGCCTCTGCTTAACTTAGTATAAATTATGCCCAGTCTGGTTGGACCACCCTAGACAACTCTTTTTCCTCAAAACTTGCTCTCTTCAAATATATGTAGGGCCCTACCATGTTCATGGTCCATTTTGATCAATTTCACGGTCATAGGATTTAAAAAATCATAAATTTCATAACTTCAGATATTTAAAATGAAATTTCATGGTGTTGTAACTTTAGGGGTCCTGACTCAATGCTGAAGGCAGCAGCACAGAAGTAAGGGTGGCATGGTATGGTATTGCCATCTTTACTTTTGCGATGCTGCTGCTGGCCGGGTGCTGCCTTCAGAGTTGGGCGCCTGGCCAGCAGCCGCTGCTCTCCACCCTCCCAGCTCTGAAGACAGCACAGAAGTAAGGGTGGCAATACTTCGACCCCACTACAATAACCTTGCAACACCCTCCATCAGCCTCTTTTGGGTCCGGACTCTAATTTGAGAGATGCTGGTCTCCCCCTTGAAATCTGTATAGTATAGGATAAAAGTACACAAAAGATCAGATTTCACAGGGGAGACCAGATTTCATGGTCTGTGACATGTTTTTCATGGCCATGAATTTGGTAGGGCACTAAATATATGTAATTGTTGCTTTTGTGCCCTGATGAAGAGAAGAGTTTAGTGTTTTGCAATGTGTGTGTGGTGGTGGTGGGGTTGTTATGTAATACTGAGTGCTAGAAAGTTACCTCCAGGAAAAAATAAGTTCCTGAATAAAATTAATCAAAAAGAACAGTCATCCAAATCGTGGAAGTATATACTTTGAAAAATGACTCCATGAAAATAGCATGGGGGTCACATGTGTATTGTCCCTCAGTAAGTTTCATATCTATTTACTTACATACAGACCATATTTGATGGGTGTAGATCCTCAGCCTGAGTTATGACAGTTTGCACCAGCTGAGGATTTGACCCATGCAGTTTCTAGTTGTCAACACTGCAAATAAAACCTAGGGTTTTTAAGTTGAACTGTTTTCTTTCTGCTTCTACAGTAATAAAGACATCGTGACAGAACTTGCTGCTGATTATGCATGAACCAGAATAAAATCCATTTCACTCTGCTGTAGCTGTATAGACTGTGTGCAGTACTAACAGGAGTAAAAAGTAGTAAATGCTTATTTATGTCATTGTAGTAAGCAAATATAACTAAATATACACAGGGCGAAGATCTGTTGAGTAAGCAAGTGTCATTTTTACAGTTTTTTTAACTGACTGTACTTTAATGGAGTTAGACGAATATCCTTGAAGTTTAACAATGCTGTACGGGAAAGGTAAAGGCTGGGTAAGTATGTAAAGGGCCAAACTCCAGTTACAATAGGTAAGGAAGCCATAAAAATAAAAAAGAGGCAGCAAATGAATCTGAGTCTGGCAGAATGAAACTCTATGGAGACCAACCCTAAATTCAAGAAAAAAAGTACTTTTAGCTTACTTTAAATGTATGACTTATATTTTCCTTTCTAGAAGAATAAATTGACACTGTGGTAAGTAATAGTGGCACTAGCAAAACACAGTGATCTTTATTTCAAAACTCATCTGTGGCTTCCAGGTGCGAATACACCGTTTTCTTTAATACTGAGATATTCAACATGGATTGAGTACTATAGAAAACACATCTATGTTTGTTTTCTAACTCTTATTGGCTTGTAAAAAGAGAGAGAGAGACTTCTTTTTTCTGTTATATGAAATACTGTGTCTTGCTAACTATAAGTTAAGGCTTAACCACACATGCATTTGTTTTTCATCCTTAGTATACTTTAATAAACAAATCAGTGTCACATTCCTGCATGACGCAATTTCAACCCATTATTAATCATACTAAATGTTATTTTGGACCTTTACTTCCCTCCCCCCCCCCAAATATTGTCAGTGGAATATTGTAGGCCTCTGCTGTTTTCTTTCAGCGAATTCGAGGTCGAAAAGCCAGTCTGGAGGAAATACAGCTGGTTCACTCTGAACATCATTCACTGCTATATGGCACCAGCCCCCTGAACAGACAGAAGCTGGACCCCAGGAAACTCCTAGGTCTGTACAGGCCTCTATTCTACTGAGAACAGCACATTCCAGCACTGTCATTAGTCATAGCTGGTGTCAGTTTAAAATACTTGGCAAGCAGTGTGACAAAAATTCACTTTTTCCAAATGCATTGCTAAGTGAAATGAGAATGTTACAGTGGAAGCCAATATACATTAGTAAAATGCACTGGCTGGAAAACAACAATAGAAGTTTCTCCACATTTGCTTTTACATCATTTTAATATTAACCCTTTAAGTCATTTCCGCCAGAAATCAGTAACTATGGAAATTTGGAATGCAATAGATCTTCTATTTCTTTATGTCTTTCATCTAAAAATAAGAGTTAAAAATACACTTGCTTGTCAAAACTGTTCTTCTGCTGTTCTCATTCATTTTATTTATTTTAAACTTTATTTCAGCCGAGTTGAATATAGATACTATTCATCAGATTTTGCTGATAACTGAACTTTGTGTAATTGTGCAGTATGCAGTGTATAGTATCTTTGAGTAACATAAAATCATATTTAAAGTATTAAATGGTTTTTAATATGTAAAAATAAAAACAAGCCATCAGCACTCATGTGTCTTAAGAATTATATTCGGATGCATGGTCAGTGCTGATCATATACTTTAATTTTAGGAACAGTAAGGTTAGATTCTAATCTCAGATAAGTAGTTCACAAGGCAATGTATCTTGACAAACCTACAATAGTGAATGTTGCACTATACACATTAGAGTTCTTATCTACTTTTATTTCACCCAGTATAAGACATGGAGCTTTATATTTATAACATACCCTTCCCACCAGAAGCTTTTTTTCCCCCAGAGATTCATTAGTAATTATTTCTACAACTACACTAAAATAGAACAGTTATTTTGCTATAGGAATGGTGATGCTAATAATTTCTTCAGTAATATTGATAAACTGTTTCTGCACTGAGGCACTAGAATAGATAAAGGAAAACACAATGATCTTTTATGAGCGTTTATATTTTTATTAGGCCAGGTCCATGGGATGGCAAAAATAAAAACTACAACAATTTGATACAACTGGTCAGGAACTCGAATTTGTAACAATGGAAATTTTGACATTTAGGGGAAAAAATGGTCCAAATTGGAATGAAATTCAAAATTTTGAAATTTCACACAAAACAAAAATTCCAAAAAAAATCACTTCTAGACCATTGAAAATTTGAAATATTTCAATGAGACTTTGTCATTTTGATCAATTTTGTTTTGACTTTTGTACTGTATTAATTGTAATATGTTATATACACACAATATTAAACATTATATATAATTAGGCTTGGCAAAATTTGATTTTTTTTATAATTTTGATGGATAATTGTGTTTATTTTTAAGCTTCTTTATTTTTATTGATTTAAATTTTCAGAGTTGTGGGAAATTATGGGGAAAGTCACACGATGGGTGGGTCAGACAACATGTTGAGATTCAAAATGTTAAAGCTTTAAAACACTAATTGTCATCATCACATGTCAACATATACAAAGTAAATATCCCTAAATCAAATTCTAATAAGTTCTCAAGCAACATTTTTCTTACTTTACCTACCTGTAAATATCAATTATTATTGATGGAAATATTTTTTCATCGATTTCTGTGTATACAGTGAAATCAGTGTTTATTAAAATTCACTGATAAAAATGTATGCCTTCCAAGCCTTAATGTAATGTAATATAATTAATTAATATATAAATGTCAAAGCAAAATAAATTGAGATTATAAATATTTCCCATTGAAAATTTCATGAAATCGATAAGTTCCCGCAAAGCATTTCAATTTCAACAAAAGTGCATTTTTTGGACAGAAAACTGTTCTGTCTAAATATTTTTGACTAGCTCTACAATTTGGCCTCATGTGCTATCTCAAAGGAAAAGTAATGGTTGACCAAAATCAGCCACTCTTTTGTTCCCCACCCTCACCTACCATGCACGTAGTCATGCACAGTAGACACTTTTCAGTGGAACACCGCAGATGATAGGCCTGGTGGAAACAACAGATTTATATTGCATTAAACTATTTTATATTCAGAAATAGCCAAACCTTTCTTTGTAACTTAAAAATAAAAAAAGAAACCGCTTAGGGCGCTAAAAGTTAAAAGTGACTTACAGGAGATGGGGTTAATCTAGCATGAGAAATTTAGTACTTGCTAATTAAGTGTGTGTTTTACAAATTACATATTAAAGCCCCGATTCAGGAAAACATCTATCTTCAAAAAGGGTGCTTAGCCACATACTTATATCCTGATAAATCAATGAGATTTAAGCACATGGTTATAGTTAAGCAGGTGCTTAAGTGCTTTCCTGAAGAGGGATGGATTTATACACGTGGTTACATTTTTCCTGAATCGGGGCCTAAGAGTTCAATTATTACAAATTACCATTTTACAAATTATGTAACCTTTTAGAAATTATGTAACTTTGCACTAGTAAAAAGTTAAGCTTTTGATTGCTCACGTTTCACTACAGTGTGTTGAACAACATGACATGTTGCATTACATCTTGATGTGATGCATTTTAATACCGGAGCTGATGTGTCATATTACATTATGGTCTAATGTGACAGGATACACCATTTCAAACCTCTTTTAATGAGCACAAATGCATAACAATCAGTCATTTCCATGTAGATCCTGCAAGTTCAGTGTGAATTTTTTTCTCTCCCGCCGTCATTATGAAAATGTTTCTAAAAAAGTAAGTTTCCAATTACCACAAATTTGTAAATGTGAAAAATTTGCTGTCAGTTTATATGCTTCATTTAAAGTGGAATAAAAAGATACATTTAGACAGCATATGTAAGTATGTTACAATTTTTGTGCATTCCTATATGATCACTTAGCAGTAGCCGCTTCAATCTGAGGGTTGATATTGGAAAACAGTTAAGGTCCCCAAACCTCCCTTGTGTTCTGCAAGCTTTCATACAGTATTACTAGACTGTCCATCTTTCCACAAAGTAATGTTTTGCTGCTGTCTCTTCTTTTGCTCACCAAAGCCTCAATCCTGCATTGTGAATCACTCACACAGACTGCAGCATCCATGTGGATTACTGTCCTGGCACTTAACTTTGCATCATAACCCTCTTCTCCAAACAGTTTCCTTTGTATGAGAGTTCACCAGAGAATCCTTTCCTTTGTGGTCTTACATATCAGAAAAGGGAACCTTTGTGATTCTCCTATTTTAATATTCCTTTATTTGTGCTCTATATTGTATCCATGACTAATAGAGCAGATCACTCTAACACCATATCCCTCAGATCTTCTCCTGATGGTCATTTTCTTCAAGGGTTTGGCTCTCAATCTTACAAGACCTGGCCTGATGCAAGACTGAAGAACTTATTGTGAAGTTTTCACTCTCCTTCCACCTTATCTGGTATATTCAAATTCCTTTTTTTTCTTTGATACATGTTATGAAAAATCAAGCAGTAGGCATTTGCCAAGTACTTTTGAATCATTTCCAAATATCATTAGGACCTCTTGAATTGTCTCATTTTGAACATTTTTACTGCTGGTTTTGGGTTGGTTTTTTTGTCTTTTTGTTTTGTCAACAAAGCTGGAGGCTCTTTCATTGCTATGAGGATCATTAGGTGACCGTCCTACTCCCTCTTAGCAAAACCTTTTCATACTGTTCTTTCAAAGAGATCTTGATGTTTTTCCTGTTCTGTTATCACTTTGCTATCTGCTTCTCTGACAATTGTGCAATAGGGAATAAGTGTTTCTGGTAAATTTCTTGATGTGTTGAAAAGTCTTTGTACATATTTTCCCCTGTGTCGATACTTCAGTGTTGAATACTGTCTGTTGATGGATTTCTACATCTTGCTTCTCCATATGCTCTCTTTTTGTGACAATTCCTATATGCATCTAGCATTAAGATATCTGGGAATTCATCTTTCCTCTCTCACGTTCCATCAGTTAGCTACTGGATTTATTAAAAAACATTCTAGTTATACAATGTTTTCAAAATGTCATCCTTTATCTTACATGAAACTTTAGTCACTCCCTCCTAATACTTTGACAGCACCTCAAACCTGTTATTTTTAATTATGTATTTTTTTAGCGCCCTTTCTCAGACTTTTCCATCATCTCCTCAGAAAAATGTGAAAAAGTGCCATCCACGTCAGCCACTGGATCTGCATTGCAAGTGACCTGATGACCCCCTTCCATATCCCCTTTCTGGCATGCCCCAGAGCATCTACCTACCCTGGTATATCTGGGGTAATCATTCCTCTATGGCATAGTGTGAGAGAATATTCTGTACAGCTACTGCATGTGCAGTCTCCTTGCAGAGCTCTTAAATTGGTGCAGATGGCTTTGTTTAGTCCCTCTGTACCTGTATGATTTTCACCCTATGTTAATTGATCAATATGCCCTGTTCTGCTGATTAGAAATAGCTGCAAATTCAGTGTGTCTTGGATTTTACTATCAGACTAAGGTACTTTCTTCCAACTTTCCAATCTGGTCTCTCAGTGCTGAAAGACTATAGTTTATAATCTTCATTATACACTTCATTTATACTGGTTAAACACAAGTAATTCTAGCCTTTGCCTCTTCCTCAGCAATGGGTTGCTACTTTCTAGGCAGCTTGAATTGATCCACCATCTAGCATTTCCTCTGTGTTGAAGTTACAAAACTAGTTCAGTGGTACATTGGGGGAAATCTATGTTCTCTTCCACAACTGCCCTGGAAAGATTTGCCTAGAGCCGAATTACATACTCCAACAGTGAATGGGTCAAATCCTAAGATTCCTACCTAATTTTAACATAGTCCTTAATAAGGCAAACACTAAGTTCAAAGGTAGTAAAAACTGAATATAGGACTGACTTAAAATTAATAACAACTTCAGGTTATATTGAGTCATCATATTGTGTAAATTAAGGGAAGTAATAAATTAGACTGTGTAATCTGTATGTTCTTTGTCTAAGTTTCATTTGGTATAGTAATGCTATCAAGTCATATAGTACTGCTGAAGTATACAGTTATCTATGTTAATTATAAGCTATTAAAATACTCATATAATTACACTTTAAATGAGCTCATACTGTAATTGTCTGGACCATTAAAAGTACCAGCATTCACATTGACTTTCAGTGAGGTTTCATGCCTAACCCCCATTCCTTTGGAAATCCCAGCCTAACCAGTTTAACAGCTTTATTAGTGTTTCAGAATTTAACCCCAAAATCCAAAGACTGATTTTGATCTTTTTAGTACTAATCACAGTGTTATTCTAAAGTTGTAGTATTTTTGTTTAACTTCTGTTGGTGAAGAAGACAGCTTTCGAGCTCCACAGATTTCTTCTGCAGGAAGACCTGAAAAAGAGCTCTGAGAAGCTTGAAAGCTTGTCTCTTTCACCAACAGAAGTTGGTCCAATAAAAGATATTACCTCACCCACTTTGTCTCTCTCATAACCTGGGACCAACATGGCTACAGCAACACTGCAAACAGTATTTTAGTTGACTAATTATTGAGAGAGATTAATACATTAGGATTGAATTAATGAAGATTATTTTTCCAGTTTTATGCTTATTGTTGTCTTTTCTCTTTAACATATAGGCAGCGTGTCTCAAAAAATCTTTTCCTTGTTGCCTTGTGGGGGACTTGGGGTAAGTAGAGGCTGTTCCAATGTAATCTGTACAGCATAAATAGATTTTTAAAGTAATTTGTCATCTTCAGGATTGTGTTCAGCAGGTCCTACACTTGAGGAGCTAATATACAATGACAGAAAATAAAAATGAAGCTTTTGTCTTATTGCCATACTGATTTTTTCTAGATACTGTGCATTGCAATATATTCATAATCTTAGAGTGCAGTATCACGGGGCAATATTTTTGTCCTGATAGGAGGTAGGTTACTTGTCTGTCCTTGTACATATTTTCTTTTGTGCATTGGTTTTTGAGAAAAGTAATGTGATAATTAGAGGGGCTGTATTGTAGTGAAATGTTCTTGGGTATAGTGAAAGCCTGATGAAGAGTACTGAATAGTTAATGCAGCACTATGTTCCACAGAAAGGAAAAAACTAAAGTACACACAAATAGCACTTTGCATAATGGGCATTGTTTAGTAACTGTCAGGGCATAATTTTTGTTAATAAAATATTAAATAGAATTTTTGACCAACCTTAATTAATGGAGATATCCTATCTCCTAGAACGGCCCTTCAAAGGTCATTGAGTCCAGCCCCCTGCCTTCACTAGCAGGACCAAGTACTGATTATGCCCTAGATCCCTAAGTGGCCCCCTCAAGTATTGAACTCACAACCCTGGGTTTTAGCAGGCCAATGCTCAAACCACTGAGCTATGCCTGCTCCCCAACCTTTTTTAATACCGAATTATGGAAACTATTTATTCTGCTACATTTTGAGCCAGTGGGTCCATATTTCTAGGAGAAACTGTTCCAATATTAGGAAAAGAATCAAAATTAAAAAAAAAATTCCCCACAGAAGAGAGCTCTATCAACATTTGTTAACATTCTCCTGTTATTTACTATTGAAGGTCGTAACAGTTAGAAACGATTTTCCATCTACAATTTTCTTCACTGGTACTTTCTTTAGCTACCCTATGTTCTGTGGTCTAAATGGAACTGTAAACAATCACTGTCAGTAAAATTAAGGTGCAATGCTTAGATTATTAGCCATTGATATGCTGGCTGAGTGTTGCACATTTGTTCTAGCTCCCTTTCACTGCTTTTGTCTTCAGGAGTGAAACCACAGTCTCTAGAGTGCAATTGGAGCTAGAGGCCAACTTCCATTGAAATACTACAAGTTTGCCTTTTCTCTACTGAAGCTTGCCAACACATTTTATATACTTTTGTCCCCCACATAGGATAATTTCCATACCACTAGAATCTTTGCTGTGGGTTTTTCTTATTATGAGATAGTATCATGAAGCATGAACTTGACAAAAAGCATATCCAGGCTACAGGGCTTTAACAAAAAATCAATTTCACTTTATAATTGTTGTTATTATTTGGTAATTTCTAAAGATTTCACTAATGGGAATTAAGGAACAGACTCTCAGAGGATGTAAATCATTGTGGCTATATTAGCTGAGGATTGGGTTCAGTATTTTAAGCCTAGTGACTAATGGTAATGACATTCTATATATATTCAGGTTATATATATGTGTGTGTGTGTGTATATATATATCCAAATCAGGTCCTACTGAGGCAAAACTGTCATTATAATTATTGGGGGGGTTTTTTGAGAAAGGACTGAGCAAGAAATGAGGAACAACTTCAGGAGATGTTGTCTACATTTATGAGCAAAAAGTAGTTAATAAGAGGTACCTGATACCTAGGATTGCTCAAGAGCATGGGAAACTAGTAAAGGTTGCCATGTGCTCACAATGTTTTGGAAAACATTTTGTTTGTTTGGTAACATTTTGGAAAATCTTACTTCTGAGAAATAGGTCATCAAGATATTGCCCAATATGTGCAATGAGAAAAATCAGTGAAGAGAGAGAGGGGGGCTTTGCGGTGCTTCTAGAAATGAGAGGCGTGTGTGCTGTTCTGCACTAAATTTACCACTAACACAGGTCAGGAAATACTCAGCCAACTTTTGTTCTTTCTCATGTTTAGAGGAACCTGCACTTTGTCAAACTCATTTAACTCATTTCTGATTAAGAACCATATAAACAGAAATATATGTTGTTGTATTACACTCTATTTAGTGTACCGCTAGTTAGTTTGCCTCTTTTTATTTTATTTTCGTGTTTGGTTAGGGACTCTTTTAGAGAGGGAGGAGGGAGGTTATGACCTTTTCCAAAGTAAATGGTCAGTTTAGGAGACCGTTTTTTGGCTGAATTTAGTTGTCTCTTAGGTAAAATGAGCTCTTTCTATTATAAGGGTGGAAGTAGGAAGGGTCACTGTTATTTGATAGCTTTTGGGATAAGGGGGATAGTATTGCATAATGCAGTAAACCCAGCATACTTCTTGTCTGAATGTTTTGTGTGATGGGATGGATGAGTTTGAATGTAGTTTTCTCATTTGCTGGTGAGCAGATCTTTGTTTTCTTTTGTTTACTTGTGTGAAAATGAAATTCAAGTCTGTATTCTGTAGTAGAGAATATAGTGGGAAAGAATATATGAAAGACTCCCCTTCTTTAAGAAGTTCTGAGTCTGTGTGGAGTTCTCTGTTCTGTGTTTGGGGCATTGATAAATAATCAGAAATGACTTGCAAATTGAAATATCTAGTGCCAGATTGTCAGCTGGCATCAATTGGAATAGCTCCATTGAAGTACATTGACACCAGCTGAGAGTCTAGCTCAGAGAAAGTTTGCTCATTCTAAGTATATCATAAACAGTGGTGTTATTCAAAGAAGGTATCTTTTTTCCTTTCTTTCTGTTATTATTATTATTATTAGATTATGCACAGGGTGCTTAGCAGTTTTTATGTGATTTTCCTTTCTATGCTAATATAATAATATGGATAACCTCTTTTTAAGCATAGTTCCATGCACAGGGGAGAAAATGATAAGATGCAAAAAAATGTTGACCTCCCCTTGTAGTATTTTTGGAATTTAAGCCCCGATCTTGCAAAGAATTGTGCACATGCTTAAAATTAAGCAGGTGCATCATTTTTGTAGGATTGGGTCCTTGGAGTGGCCAGCTTTATTATGTTAAATATTGTTTTTGTGCTGGTTTGATTATTAATTCTATGATTGGGTTATTATAGTTAGTGAATTATAGAAAATTATCAAGTTGTCTTGATACTTATCAAGTTTATCAACTCCTGTTGCATTAAAATATAGGGAATATATGATGATTTGGTGTGATATAAAGTTTTTGTCAGTGTGAGTTTGGGATGACCATTAAAAACTGTAAGGTCATCCTAGGGGAAAGCATTGCAACTCAACATAGAATGCTGGTTCTTGACTATGGATACATATAGTACTTTAGAAGAAAACAGTCCAAAGCAGTACAGAAAACCAAGTGGTGTAAGCTTAACAAAGTTAGTAGGAAGTGTTGGAGAAGATCTCTTTAGAAGGCTTAAGAGAAAATGTGAATCAATGGTAGATTCATGTTGCAAACAAAATTCAAGAATGTGCACAGAGCCCGCTTGGTGAACAGAAGCAAGAGTCTTTGTCCCCAATGAGATCTGGTGGCAGAATGAGAAAGTTCGAGAGGCTGAGAAGGAAAAGAAAAAGTGTTTTAAACTTTGGCAAGCAATGCTCCAACAGCAGGATTTTCAGAAGTACAAAAAAGCCAGAAAAAAAAAAGGACAAAGAAAGAGATAGCAGCTGCTAAGGCTAAAGCCATGGAAGGTTTAAATGCCCATTTTGACATGAAGGAAGGTGAGAAATAAATATATTGATTGGCAAAGACCTGTGATAAGTGAACTAAAGACAGTAGTGAGATCAAAGTAATTAAAGATGAAAGTGGATATAATTAATCAATGAGAACCAGATTAAGGAACGAAATTACTTTGAAAAGCTAATGAATGGAGAGAAACCAATAGAACTATGCCCTATGATAAAACCAAACCAAGGTCTGGTGGCACCAGACCTAAAAGAAAAGGTTATAAAAGCATTGAGCCACATGAAAAATAAGAAAAATCTCAGCCCTGGTGGCATACAGCAGAGTATGGAAGTGCCTGGAGCAACTGACATGAACATATTGACATAACTGTCATGAGGATTGAGATGATGCCTGATGCCCGGAGAAAGAATACATTAGTACCAGTATTAAAGAGAAAAGGAGATGTACAAGACTGTGGTAACCACATTGGCATTAAACTCATGAGCCACACAATGAAGATCTGGAAGAAAGTTATTGATAAGAGACTACAAACAGAAGTAAAGGTCAGTAACAATTAGTTTGGATTCATGCCAGGCAAGTCAACAATGGATGCTATCTTTGCATTGAGATTGCTTGTGGAAACATATAGAGAAAAGAGGAAAACCCTATATGTAGTATTTATCAGTCTTGAGAAAGCTTCAGAGAGAAGTCATCTGGTGGCTTATGAGACTGGAACAGATACCGGAAGACTGTAAGGATGTCTAAATTTATGGTAGCATGTAGAGTACAAACACTGAATGCCCAGCTAGCATCGTATAAATAGCTTGGCATGCTTAGGTGAGGCAAGGAGAATAAAATGCCCTACACAACTGAATGCCCAGCATATGTATCCTACATAGGCTCTTTGCACACTTAAGCAGTGTCACAGCTATTTTTACCAGTGTAATGTCCCACTGCCTCCTGGCTGCTGGAACCTTTCCCCACCACAGTGAAAGTCTCTGGCAGTGGAGAAAGGCACTGGTGCGGGGAGGAAGCAGGGAAAGGCTCCCCACTGCCGGAACCTTTCCCCACTGCTTCCCAAACTGTCTCCTCCTGCCAGAGTAGTTCATTATGACATGTAGCTGACATGTGACATACCACAGTGGCAAGTGCTGATGTAGTCTGCCTTTCACTACGGCATGTAACTACACGTGTAGTGCCTGTACACTACATACTGCCGTAAATGTAGACATAGCCTATACCTGACTCATCCAGGACATGCACTAGAGTGCTGTTACCACAGTTAGAAAGCCATGTGGAGAAACTAAACAGTTTCTAGTAAGAATTGGAGTACATCAGTGCTCAGTACTTAGCCCCTTTTTGTTCACGGTG